AGGGTATAAAAGCGGGACCTTTCAATAAATGCAAGAATGACAACTGTAAAAAAAATCGAATACTTCATCATTTCTCAATAGTGATGGAGTAATAAGACATGCACTAAACTAAGGACACGGGATATACTACAATAGATCAAATTACTGGTCGCAGTAGTGTTATGTCTCGTGCAGAAGAAAAAAAAATGTATGCGATGTATATTTGCTACCATCACCAAGGCCCATTGTTGAATAGGCATGCATTAAAATAAAATTTGCTTTATACCTGTTTGAGTGAACTAACCTTTTGGAATATTTACTGTTTCTACCTAAACAATGTATACCCAGATATACATCAAACAACAAATTCTTTATATTATGTGGCCTGTGGAAGTCGCAAGAAAACAACGGTTAATGAAATTGTTTATATTTCTAATTAGGCTCGTATGCTACGTTGTAAGTGAAAGCACCAAATTTTACAAAACGTTTAAAGACATGTAGAAACGGACAATCATGTTTTGCTTCCACATTGAATATAATATTCTTCTTTTACTCATCCTTTGCATAGAAACAGGTCGTCCAACCTTTTTGGTGTCCTGTCCTGTAGGGAATTTTATGCACATCTTCTACATTGAACATTGAAAGGAAAAGAAGTTCACATTTTATGCGTACCTATATGTTGTTTTATTTTTCAAAAATTTAACTTTTTTTTCAGTGTATTTTTCTTTTCTTTAAAGAACAATCAAGTCTCTACAACTTCTTTAAGACATAATTTTGAATGAATAAACGTTTTTAGAGTAAGTTTTTTTGAAAAATTCATAGATGAAAACACAAACACCCTTTTCAAAAATTAGCGTTGAGTCAATATGGCCTCGCGATTTGTGGAAAAATCATAATCTCCCATACTGAAGACATGTTGAAAGTTTCATCAAAATCAGAGAGGCTCGTGCCAAGCCGTTTGCTCATTTGACAGAGTATTGCATTTATGCATCACAGCCATCGCTATAAAATGATATAGCCTCAACTATTGTTCCCGATTCGGTTTGAGGTTGGGGCAGTTGCTTCTCCAGTGCATCATCAACCGACAGTGGGGACAAATCTGTTGGTATAGAACACACAAAGTTTGCCTTTGGCACATCATCATGCATGAAATTTGCCATACCATAGTGCAAAAGCGTGCTGAATCTTTCAATTCAGTGATACTCGTAAAAAGGCAAACTGCATATGGATTGCATAGAAGTCGATAATAGCTGGCATCCTCTACTGCCAACAGTAGGTACTCCATTTCCATTCAGCTGCCAAATAATTCAGTTATCTCATGTTGGTTGGGATACAAATATTCCAGCATGGCTTGGCTCTGCCCATGTATGTTAGTAAAGCAGCACCAGAGGGGCAATTAGAAAAATTATTAGAGGGGCAAGATGTTTTTGAAAATCCGGCTTTTCAAGCGGTATGTATACCCTTCCTTGTAAAAAAAATAACAAGGTTAATTTTACAAAATGGCAGGAGCTAATTATCCCGACAGAACTGATGATATTGATGTTGTTTTTCAGTTTGGCTAGTATATCCTGCCATTCTTGTAGTTGAAAAATCAGTTCGTGAAGCGTCTTGTAAAATGTGTTGTAGTAGATTAACGTAGAATAACTGTATTAGTAGAGTCAAGACATCTCATACTATCGTCGAGGCGAGCCTTTTTGAACACATTATAGCAGTAATTGAACTTCAACATATCTTAATGAAGTTGATAAGCTATAACATTATATTTCGTATAAGGGTACCCTTATGATTTGTTACGAGAGGTATTTATATTGATAAAGGGTGATACGGTCAAAATTTGGTCAAGGGAAAACGCGTGTAAATCGGTGAAATCGTTTATTTAAAAAATCAAATTAAATTTCTTTTTCAAGTTCAATTAGTATAAAATTCAGGAAAAATATTCAGTTAGGCTTCCGCTTTTCCAAATCCGAATTGCCGGGCCTTACGCTTGACCCCTGCCATCAGATTTTGTACAGCCACCTTGTCCACCTTCTTCGCCGCAGAAAGCCAGTTTGCCTTGAACTGCTGCTCGCCCTTAGCAGTTTTATTGGTCTTCTTTAGGTTCCGCTTGACAATAGCCCAGTATTTCTCAATTGGGCGGAGCTCTGGCGTGTTGGGAGGTTTCTTGTCCTTGGGAACCACCTGCACGTTGTTGGCGGCGTACCACTCCATGGCCTTTTTACCGTAATGGCAAGATGCCAAATCCGGCCAAAACAGTACGGAACAACCGTGTTTCTTCAGGAAAGACAGCAGACGTTTATTCAAACACTCTTTCACGTAAATTTCTTGGTTGACAGTCCCGGAAGCTATGAAAATGCTGCTTTTCAAGCCACAGGTACAGATGGCTTGCCAAACCAGATATTTCTTTGCGAACTTTGACAGTTTCATGTGCTTGAAAACATCTGCTACCTTTCCCCTTCCTTTTGCCGTATAAAACTCCTGTCCCGGAAGCTGCTTGTAGTCGGCTTTGACGTAGGTTTCGTCGTCCATTACCACGCAGTCAAACTTCGTCAGCATCGTCGTGTACAGCCTCCGGGATCGCGCTTTGGCCGTCGTATTTTGTTTATCATCGCGATTTGGAGTCACTACCTTCTTGTAAGTCGATAGTCCGGCTCGTTTTTTGGCTCGATGCACGGTTGTAGACGATACACCCAGCTTATTTGCGGCATCTCGGAAAGAGAGGTTAGGGTTTCGCTTGAAACTACCGGCAACTCTCTTTGTCGTCTCAGCGGCTTCCGGTTTTCGATTTCCCCCCGATCCAGACTTCCTGGCTGTCGACAAACGTTCTCCAAACACTTTAATTACATTTGTAACGGTTGATTTGGCAACTTTTAGCGATTTTGCCAACTTTGCGTGCGAGTAGCTCGGATTTTCGCGATGCGCGAGCAAAATTTTGATACGCTGCTCTTCTTGCTTGGACGGCATTTTGACAACTGAAGAGTGAATTCCAAAATCAAAATAGGAGCAGCATTCTACACACACACACACACCTTCAAAATGGTTCAGGTTTTTTAAATGCAAAATTGAAAGAAATACGTCAAGTTGATATTGACCAAATTTTGACCGTATCACCCTTTAATCAAACTTAATTGAAAATCAATTTCAGCAGGTGGGCTACTTTGGAACTGAAATTAAGCATGTTTGGATATTTAAATGGAAAGAAACAATTTTGGGGATAATGTTTAATTGTAGCTTCAAATAATTCAACGTAATTATATATAGGGTAAATGTCGGCTTCGGTACCCATTGACTGTTTTCGGCAACCAAAATTTAAACGTTAATTTCACTGTATTTTCCCATCAAATCTCTTCGCTGAATGTATTCACACGATTCCTTACTCTTTCTGCTTCCATCTTATTTCAGTGTTACGACTGAGCAATCCCGTTATGCCATTTTTTTTTCTTTAAATGAAATATGTGCACTACAAAATGCGGCTGATTTCAAGTTGCCGATAAAAGAAAAGCTGGTTAACACGTAGTTCAAATGAAAAGACTGCCGAAAGAAAAAAGTTTGCTCACTAAAAAATATAGGAATGAACCATATAGGGGAAATTGCTCTAATGTTGGCCTATGGATCTAAGTTTTGGCCCATCGCTACAAATCTGCTATTTATCAATTTTATCTAGATGAACGCGTCATTGCAAATTTAGTCGAATGCTAAATTTATGTATGGGTCCAAATTTGGAGCATTACATCCATTTCCCCTATTAGCTATGTTTTTGCAGAGTTAGTTTATTGAACCTCCTCGCCTAGGCTACATGCCCGCACCTTGGACTTAACGCTACCCATCTAATCCTGTGCAACACTTGCGCCATCTTTCTTCCAATTTTTCTTCAAATCCTTGCAATCGACTAAATTTTTCAATAGCGGCCAAAAATATCCATTACTACCGTCCCAATTATGCGGTCATCTAGATAAAATTGATAAATAGCAGATTTTTAGCGATGGGTCCAACCTTAGATCCATAGGCCAACATAAGAGCCATTTCCTCTATGTGTTTATTTATTCACTTAGATTTTTAAAAATATTCGACCCAGTTCGTACATCGACGAAAAGTGTATCGGCGCGCCATCTAGGAGTCAACCCTCATGGACCGACAGCATAAACCATTCTCGTTCGTCGATCATGGCGCCCGGCTAAAAAGAGAATTGTCGGTCTCACTCTATCCGGTCTTCTGCAAAATGGAGGAATCCCCTATAAAAGGCCGACTTGTCAACGTGCTCGTTCTCTTTTTCGTGCGACAACTCGACACCCATCGACAGCGAACCAGAATCACAACAAACAAAGTGAAATAGAAAGATCAGTGTAGTTTTTTGAATTATATTTTAGAAGTTAGAAATAAAAGTAGTTACCTAGTTACGTTAGTAATTAAATTACAGAAATCTATAGCTATTCACTTGTGCTCTATATCGGTGTGGGTATTAGAAACTATAGGAAAGTGAAAATAAAAAGAAATCGATTCATAAAGACTGGAGTGTTCCCGTTGTGCTCTGTGGTGCCCTGAAAGAAAGAAAATTTGGCACAGAACTACTGTTCTCCGCTGATCCATCGAACATTTGGTCCTTCGAACCGGATTGGACGTCGAAACTCCGACCTTTCTGGAACCTTCCCGTGGAGAAGCAAACCGCCATCGCACCCGTGAGACGAGTCACGTAGGATCCGCCATCGTAGCCACTGAGGGAATCACAAAAGCCCATTGGATTCCGCCATCACGACTGCTGATATAATCGATTCAAGGCAATTCATTGCCTTTAAAAGGTAATTAGCATTCCTATTATTTCTACCTCTCCTTTTTTGGGCTACGCGGTCTTTCGTTTTGCAGAACCACTGAATCCCGTAACCCGCATTCATCTTTACCGCAGCTGCTTGGAATTATTCAATACAAGGCACTAATTGCCTTCAAAAAGGTAATTAATTTTCCAATAAAATTTACTCTCTCTCGTGTGAGCTACGCGGTCTTTCGCATTACAGACCCTGCTCAACACCATGTCTACCGATCGACGTATCAAAGGCCTCAAGACAAAGCAGAAGAGCCTGCTTGCGTCGTTCGGCCTCATCAAAGCCTTCGTCGATAGTTACGATGAAGAAACCGGTGCGTGTGAGATCCCGGTTCGCCTAGAAAATCTCGACGCTCTATGGACTGAGTTTAAGCAAGTCCAGTCCGAGCTTGAAACACTTGACGAGGCCACTATCGACCAGCAGCTAAAGCAGCGAACCGATTTCGAGACAGCATACTATCGTGTAAAGGGATTTTTGCTGTCAAACAATAAAATGCCTTCCACACCCCGCCTGAATACTTCTTTGAGCTCGCAAATCCCTGCTTCTTCATCGTCGCATGTCCGCTTACCTGATGTGAAGTTGCCCGTCTTTAATGGAAACCTAGACAACTGGCTCAACTTCCATGACTTGTTCGTTTCGCTGGTTCACGCATCGCTCGAGTTGTCCAATATCCAGAAGTTTTATTATCTACGTTCTTCTTTGGCTGGAGATGCCCTGAAGCTGGTTCAAACGATTCCTATAAGTGCAAACAACTATCCAGTCGCCTGGAACTTGCTGGTAGACCATTTTCAAAATCCTTCTCGATTGAAGCAATCCTACCTTGACGCTCTTTTCGAGTTTCCTTCGTTGAAACGTGAATCTGCTGCCGAACTTCATTCGCTGGTTGAAAAGTTTGAGGCCAATGTCAAGGTCTTGAAGCAGCTTGGTGAAAAGACTGAGTTTTGGGATATCATCCTTATACGAATGCTGAGCATCCGTTTGGACCCAACCACTCGACGAGACTGGGAGGAGTATTCGTCAACGAAGGATGCCATCGCCTTCAACAATCTTACGTCTTTTATTCAGCGAAGAGTAACTGTCCTACAAACAATTCAAGGGAAAGTTGTGGAAGCTCCAGCGTTCACTCAGCAGCTCAAGAAATCTGCTCAACGTCCGGTTGCCAGTCATGGGGCCAGCCAATTCAACTCCGGTCGGAAATGTATCGTCTGCTCCGATCACCATCCGCTCTATTTGTGTTTGTCGTTCGCCAAACTCGACTTGGTGGCTAAGGAAAGGGAGGTTCGACGACATCAACTCTGCCGTAACTGCCTTCGACAGGGTCATCATGCTCGGGACTGTCCATCGGCTAGTTCTTGCCGTAAATGTCGAGGTCGCCACCACACCCAGCTCTGCTCTGAGGAGAAGTCAGTCGCTGCGAACTCCAGGACTACGGATTCTTCTCAAACCAAAACACCAACTACTTCTACGTCTGGTGAACAACCAATGGCATCCGTGTCAGCTACCCTCTATGAACCTACCAGCTACGCGAGCACTGGACAAGCACGAAAGAACGTACTTCTGGCAACAGCAATCGTCAATATGGTCGACGACAATGGGACTGCACATATCGCAAGAGCTCTCCTCGATTCCGGTAGTGAATGCTGCTTTATTACCGAATCTTTCTCGCAGCTTGTCAAGGCAAAGCGCTACAAAGTCTCTGTACCGATTTCGGGGATAGGACAATCATCGACATATGCAAGGTACAAGATCGTCTCTACTGTTCGTTCGAGAGTTTGCGATTACTCCACCTCGGCTGAATTTCTGGTCCTGCCTAAGATTACCATAGATCTACCGACTGCTTCTTTCGACGCTAGCTCGTGGAAAATTCCTCCTGGTGTTCAATTAGCCGACCCGGCTTTCTACAATGCAAACCCCATCGACATTATCATTGGCGCTGAAGTGTTCTTCGATCTATTCAAAGTTTCTGGGCGTATTCAACTTGGCAATTCTCTTCCGACCTTGGTTAACTCGGTCCTCGGTTGGATAGTATCTGGAAAGGCTTCGTACGGTACTCCTACGACTCCAGTGATCGCCAACGTTGCCACTGTTGCTGAACTACACCAGTGGATGGAGAAATTCTGGGCCATCGAAGAAAACGACACTTCACCTTGCTATTCCGTCGAAGAAGCAGCTTGTGAAGAACACTTTCAACGAACGGTTAGGCGCAACTCCGAAGGAAGGTACATCGTTCGTTTGCCGATAAAGGATGACGTCATCAAGCAAATTGGTGACAACCGTCGCACTGCTGTTCGCCGTTTTCGGATGCTGGAAGGTCGCCTCGGTCGCAACTCCGAACTTGCCCAGCAATATCGTGACTTCATAGACGAGTACCTTGCTTTGGGTCACATGAAGCAAGTCTTTGACTATCAATCACCTCCGTCTCCATGCTATCACATGCCTCACCACGCTGTGGTTCGAGAAGAGAGTACTACAACAAAGCTACGAGTAGTCTTCGATGCATCTTGTAGGACTCCAGAAGGACCATCGCTTAACGATGCACTCATGGTAGGCCCAACCGTCCAGCAAGAGATCCGTTCAATCATCATGCGTTCCAGAACCCGTCGAGTGATGATCATCGCTGACGCCAAGCAGATGTATCGTCAAGTCTTAGTAGACGAGCGTGACACTCCGCTTCTACGAATAGTCTGGACGCCATCACTGGACCAGCCATTGGGTACCTACGAGCTCCTAACAGTTACCTACGGTACTGCAAGCGCACCGTTTCTCGCTACTCGAGTTCTCCTGCAACTGGCAGACGACGAGAAGGACAGTTATCCTGAAGCAGCTGAGGTATTGCGTAAGGACTTCTACGTAGACGACCTTTTCTCGGGAGCAAGCAGCATCGAAGAAGCAACTAAGCTCCGTCAGCAGCTAGAAGCACTCCTAGCCAGAGGCGGATTTCAACTTAGAAAATGGGCATCTAACGAAGAAGCAGTTTTGGAAGGTCTCGCACCGGAAAACCGAGCTCTCAAAGCCTCAATAGATCTGGATCATGACCAGTGCATTAAGTCTTTGGGTCTTCATTGGGAACCCGCTTCGGATCAGCTAAAATATCGCATCGAACTTCCGGCGGACTCGACTGATTTTCCTCTCACTAAGCGAATAGCTCTATCGCAAATTGCTCGCCTTTTCGACCCACTTGGTCTACTGGGTCCGGTCGTAATCTCCGCTAAACTCTTCATGCAAGCACTCTGGACGCTGAAGGACGACGATGGTAAAATTTGGAACTGGGACCAAGAGCTTCCGATGCCAATAAGAGAACGTTGGCATACTTACCGATCTCAGCTACCACTTCTCAACAACCTTCGTATCGAGCGGTACATACTTTCATCAAATCCGTCAAGCGTGCAGTACCACTTCTTCTCGGACGCTTCTGAGCAAGCATACGGCGCGTGCTGTTACATTCGATCGGCAGACTCTTCTGGAGCAGTTAAGGTAGCTCTTCTAACAGCGAGATCAAAGGTAGCACCCTTGAAACAGCAGAGTATTCCTCGCCTTGAACTATGTGGAGCACTTCTCGCTGCACAACTCCACCAAAAGGTCTCGGCTTCTCTTGAACTTCCGGGAGAATCTTTCTTCTGGGTCGACTCTACGACAGTCATCAGCTGGTTGAAAGCTACGCCGTCAACGTGGACTACCTTCGTAGCAAATCGGGTCTCTAAAATCCAGTTGGCAACTCAGAACTGTTCCTGGAACCACGTCTCTGGGCAAGAAAATCCTGCAGACCTTCTGTCCCGAGGAATTCTGGCAGAAAACCTGATCGAAAATCAACTCTGGTGGCGAGGACCACCGTGGCTACAGCTAAAACAACCTTCTTGGCCAATTGGACAATCCAACAACGAACCAAACAGTGATGCTCTCGAGGCAGCAAGAAATCGACCAACAACTGTCTGTCAGGCATCAGCCGAACCATCGTTCATCGATCTATACGTGGACAAGTTCTCTGACTACAATCGAATGCTCAGAGTAACCGCTTACTGCCGCCGGTTTATCCAGCATTGTCGTCGAACTCCAATTGCAAATCTCACAACCTACGTCACGACGGAGGAAAAGAACGCAGCCGAAGCAATCCTCATCCGGCTGATTCAACAGAAATTCTTCGCAGAAGAGTGGAAGCAGCTCGAGCAATCAAAACCTATTTCGCTCAAATCCCGCTTACGTTGGTTCCATCCGTTTCTGTCTGTGGATCATCTAATTCGCATTGGAGGTCGACTAAATCAAGCGCCACAACCGTACGATAGTAAACATCAGATTATTCTCCCCGCTTCTCATGCTTTCTCTACGCTTTTGGTTCGTTCGCACCACGAAAGGCACTTGCATGCGGCTCCCCAGCTACTGGTCACCATCCTTCGCTTACGGTATTGGATCACAGGGGCCAGAAGCCTAGCCAGATCCATCATGCACAATTGCATCACCTGCGTCAGAGCTCGGCCTAAACTTCTGGAGCAATTTATGGCCGAGCTACCAGCTGCACGAATTACCGCAACCCGACCGTTTTCCGTAACCGGCGTTGATTACTGGGGACCAATCTCACTACAGCCAACACATCGTCGAGCAGCACCACGTAAGGCCTACGTAGCAGTTTTTGTGTGCTTTTCCACCCGTGCTGTGCATCTTGAACTCGTCGTTGACTTGAGCACCGCAAAGTTTCTTCAAGCGCTAAGGCGTTTTGTCTCTCGCCGAGGTCTTTGTAGCGATATCTATAGCGACAACGGTCGCAATTTCGTTGGAGCCGCCAACGAACTGCGGAAACTTGTCTGCAGCAAGGAACACCAACAAGAAGTAGCACGAGAATGTGCCGATAATGGAATTCGTTGGCACTTCAATCCGCCAAAAGCATCACATTTTGGTGGTCTGTGGGAAGCTGCTATTCGATCCGCCCAAAAGCATTTCACCCGTGTACTTGGTACTCACTCCCTCGCCCAAGACGATATGGAAACGCTCCTGGTGCAAATTGAATGTTGCCTCAACTCTCGCCCCATCGTTCCACTCAGCGACGATTCTTCCGACTTCGAGCCACTTACGCCTGGTCACTTCTTAATTGGATCTGCATTGAAGGCTGTTCCGGATTCAGATGTAACCGAAATTCCAGTAAATCGCTTGCGACAGTGGCAACAAACGCAGAAATTGTTCCAGCTAATTTGGAAAAGGTGGAAAACAGAGTACCTTTCAACGCTGCAACTTCGAGCGAAATGGTGCAATCATCCAATTAGCATCCAGCAAAATCAACTGGTACTACTGAAGGACGAAAATGCACCTCCAATGTCCTGGCAGACTGCCAGAATCATCGATATCCATCCCGGACTTGATGGTGTCACTCGGGTAGTCACTGTAAAAACACCGACCGGTCGCTACACTCGTCCGGTTTCGAAGATTTGTCTGCTGCCGATTCCACCCACGCAAAACAACACCATCGAAAGCCCCGACGATTCACTCAACGGCAAAACTCCAAAAGATTCCAACGAAGCTCATCCGTCTGCAAATGGTTCCACTTCGGATCACCTAAAATGAAAATATACAAGGCCCTTTTGATTAAGGGACAAGGTAAGAACCTGTCCAAATTCTATAAATAGTTTGAAACCCTCTACAGGGTCTCTTTTTTGAATGTTTATTTTCCATGCTGAATCTGCTGATAATCTTCGCGACGACGAATGACGAAACGGATCAGGCGAACATCGATTTATCTGTCAGAAATGAGATTTCTGAAGGGGCCAGCATGTTCGTACATCGACGAAAAGTGTATCGGCGCGCCATCTAGGAGTCAACCCTCATGGACCGACAGCATAAACCATTCTCGTTCGTCGATCATGGCGCCCGGCTAAAAAGAGAATTGTCGGTCTCACTCTATCCGGTCTTCTGCAAAATGGAGGAATCCCCTATAAAAGGCCGACTTGTCAACGTGCTCGTTCTCTTTTTCGTGCGACAACTCGACACCCATCGACAGCGAACCAGAATCACAACAAACAAAGTGAAATAGAAAGATCAGTGTAGTTTTTTGAATTATATTTTAGAAGTTAGAAATAAAAGTAGTTACCTAGTTACGTTAGTAATTAAATTACAGAAATCTATAGCTATTCACTTGTGCTCTATATCGGTGTGGGTATTAGAAACTATAGGAAAGTGAAAATAAAAAGAAATCGATTCATAAAGACTGGAGTGTTCCCGTTGTGCTCTGTGGTGCCCTGAAAGAAAGAAAATTTGGCACAGAACTACTGTTCTCCGCTGATCCATCGAACAGACCCAAAATGAATTTTTGGTGATCATTTTTGTCTGTTGCATTTTTTCGAGTAAAGTCTGAACTAATTTTTAACAAGCAAATAAGGGTGGCGCCTAAAAATCAGTTTTTAATAAAGAGTTTATTTTTCCACGTCCTTAAAAGTTTGTTTCCCGATTGTGTAAGTCATAGAAACCATAATTGATGAGATACTTAATTCACCCAAGCCGAGTCTCATAGCCGTACCAGAAAAAAAGCTTGAACAGTCTTTTTGGTTATATAGTGGTGCTCATGCTACTGAACGTTGTGCACACAAACGGTATTTAAAAGGATGCAAAAGTTAATTCTATAAACCTAGAATGCCGTAACTTGATCATGTTATGTATATATGTATAGAGTTGGGGCTCTAGTTTTATCCAAATGTTGTAATTATCTTTTGTTCCTACTACAGTATATGGAAATCTTCGTGAGCCATAATAGGAAAGAACATCTCCCCTACTAAAATCGCATCCATTCTGATATCTCGAAATCCACATGCCGGTCGGTTACGTAACCAAATAGAAATTGATGCGAAGAAGCCAAAAAAATAGCCCAGAAAGATAGCTAATCTTGAATCCTGCTTTACTCTGGCAACGAAAAGTTTACTCAATTTGTGGGCCGATGGACATTAGACTGATGCAAAATTTGAAATTTTCGCTCCGACAGTTTTAACTCATTTGATAAGAAACTGACTTGGCACAAACCATTTGAAGTTTATATGGAAATAACTATGGGAAAACAATACTTTTTGTTCATTGTCTTCTAGTCTTTTTGCAATATGTTAACAAATTCTATTGCTTCTTATGGGAATTTTAATCAGCTGCAACTTTATACAAAATCTTTTTTCAGCCAAACGTCAAATTAAATAATTTTTAATTGTTTAAGAGATTGATAATATTATGGCAAGATTAAGCAACTGTATTGTGGGCAACACTGTATTCTGCAGTGTTACATAGTAGCCATGATTGTTGTCTTCTATTCTACGTGCCATAAACACCAATGTTGCCTTCTGAACAGTTGATTGAGCATAATCATAAGACATCAGTGACTTGAATCATTTATAACTTTTGTTCCTTACATTTGATCAAAAACTGGTCTTCAACAAAGTTGTAACTGAGAATTTTCAACAAATTCAGTTATCATTTCCTAAAGTAGAGTAAACTGGTGAATTTTGAGATAGATATGAACCGAAATTATGGTTTCTCCATAGTAATTCCCATATAAACTTTAAATGGTTTGTGCCAAGTCAGTTTCTCACAAATGAGTTCAAATTTTTGGAGGCTAATCAGGGCCCAATTTGGAACCGTTTGAGCGAAAATTTCAAATTTTGCATCAGTCTAATGGACATCATGATGTGAATTCTAGCTACCCATTTGCTTCAAAAGGTGTGGAAACTTCCATCAGCTACCACTATTCGTGTCGTTATTTGGAGGATAATATTTTAAATGCTGAATACAACGCTAGACAAAAGCTTTCTAGCTTGTTGTACACAAATTCTTATTGACGTGAAACATGTTCGTTCGTCCTGAAACATGTTTGTTCGTCCTCAAAATTGATGCATTAGAACAGCATAATGCTGACGTGAAGCTCGCAAAATGTATCGACTGAATATAATAATGAATATTGAAACATCATTCTTCCAGAATCAATCAATGTCAAGCGATGAACGTTACACTAGCAGTTGCCGTTGACTTCAGCACAGAGTTACGTGCATGCGAATCGCTGCCTCACTCTATTTATTCATGGCTTTGCTAACTCTTTTTATAAACCATTAACTGTGATTGATCTCAGTAGTAGTAACTTTCTAATTGAAACTTCACCTCTGGAGGAATTCATCAAGCTACGAAGACGCATTCACTATTGCAGATAAACTATTTCCGTTCGAATAAACCGATTAATAATGTTGGCTCTGTGGAGTAAACTTCATCGCAAGCTTGCGCTATTCGAAGAAGGTAATTTAACTTTCGTCGTCGTAGAACGGATGGCAACAGATGCAAAATAATCTTAAATTTATGCTACAAATTACTGTGCGGCTTGAAGAAATTCTTTAATCAGGTTTATAATTATGTATCTATAACCATTTTGTTGTTTTCGATGTAGGATTGCATCTTTGCGGAATAAACTGGGGTGCCAAACAAGAAAAAAAAAACAACTGAAAGCATAATAGCTTCGGTCCTCACCAATTCCTACTCGACACCTTACAGCTGTGTGTGCTGGCGTGGTAACCACGGTGATAGAGAAAATGCTTCACCAACCTAAGAGAAAATGTTAAGGTGGCTTAAGGTGAAAGTGGATCGGTGCAGAATGACTTACTTCATCGATTTTTTACAAAATAACGCAACGCTCAATCGAAAAAACTCTTCCGTGCAAAATTAATGAACTAAAATTGCCATCTCTAGCAATTTTTACAAGATGGATTTATTGTTTAAATTTTCTGAAAACCATTTTCTAAGTTCAATTTTAGGCTCATGAGTTGATGGGTCAATAGGTAGGGTCCAGGTGTGAGAGCTGCCTCCCTTACGTCGAAAGCATTGGTGCTCAGCACGGAAAACAAGATCGACGGAAAACAAATTAAGAAAAAAAATGTGATCCTCGATTTTCACAAGTATTTCATGATATTCTGTGAAAATTTAAGCCTTTCTGATAAAGGTATTGTAGCCGACACTGGCCGATCTATGGTAAGTCTGCGGCTTAAGCGCCACTCCAGTTAAGGCAGGCCTTCTTCTTCTTCTTCTTCTTCTTCTTCTTCTTCTGCTACTCTGGACTAGACTGACTGAATTCGATTTTAAAGTCTGTGTTAGGGAATGCGCTGTTTTCAGACATCATTTTGATGACCATTAACGCCTGAAAACAGGCAAAAACTCACAAACAGGTTGCTTTTCCATGGTGTACAGTGTGATAATTCAATAATCAATAAATCTCTTGTAAACAATTACTTCACTCATTCATTTCACTAAATAAAGGCTCGCCCACGCAATTCAACGTCATTGGAAAAAAACAAATCGTGCCGAAAGCCGAGGAAAAACTAATTGCACCAATAAATTCAGGCCTATAATTCCACACCTTCTATTAACAGGTTGCGCCTTGATAGCTAGCTGCTTGCGTGAACTGATGACCTTGACCAATGTCCAAATAATACTCTTTAACATATTTTTGGTGGCCCTGAAAAGGACCGTTTTGTAGTCATGGTTGAGATTGATTGAAATTCTGAGCTGGGTGTACCTGTCGCTGGGTGAGGCTGTCGAGCTGTATGTCGTTTGGAGCGAGGGTGACACGCTTGGCATAGATGACCGACCCGCAGCGACCCCCGAAGAGCTACTGATTCCGATCCATAATATAGCGGTGCAGCTTCTTCCTCCTTTGATGGTTGCTTATGTGGGCTCTGCAGCTCGCTGCTTGCAGGCAGCCTTTCGTTGTTACTGGAGAACAATTTTCAACGCCACACGCCGAAAGCACTGCTACTGCTGCTACTAATTTCGACGACCGTGATGAGTGATGAGTGTGTAAAATATTACGCAATTCCATCCACCCTATTCGCACGCGCCCGAGGATCGGAGGCGAATGCCACTTCGACTTGTTTCGTCTACTTACTACTCTCTGACGACTGTGCTGGGGAAGCAGCATATGCATGTAGGTAATTGGTGGATTTGTAAGTTAATTCGACGCTTTTGGACAATGTTGGACATCTACCAGTTTTTCAATAGTTTCTTGTTGATATTCAACATATGTAAGCATTGTTATCAAATCGTATCTACATTGAAATACATAAATAAAAGGGAAGGGACGGTCCAACAGGACACCCGATTGAAGCGATTTGGACGGGGAGAGTGGGAATGCCAACTCCCTGTTGATAACATTTCGTGGATAAAGGGCGGGCTCTTCTCCCCACTCATTGGGGCATCATCCTGTTTGGGGGCTTGTCTTTTTGACCAATGGATCACATCATTCGAGCAGTTTAAAATGACGTTTCCTACCACTCGAACTTTAACGTGGAATAATATTTTGATATATTTTCTTCTAGAACCTCGAGAAAATAGGGTCTTATTTGTAATATGCTTGAAAAATCCGGAATTTATTGTTTCATTTCCGTAAAATCGCTGGTAGAAGGTCGTCCCAAAACTGCTCGACAATATGATCAATTGGAAGATCAAGTTGCTAGAAGGAGATTCTCTTGTTCCGTAGATGCGTATAGGCGACTTTGCCTATCGATCTACCCAATCCATTTTTGGCCCTTCATACAGCGACATGTTGAGGACAA